ATATTTCTGATTACCAAGTTTACCAAAAAAATAAAAAGAGAAGNTATTATTTAAAATAATAATACATAAATTAAATTAATAATAATTATTTTATTAAATAAAATAAAATTAATTTATAAATAATTAAGTAATAATTTAAAAAAAATTAAATAATATTTATATATTAATTTAAAAACTTAAAAAAACTAAAAACTTAAAAAAAAAAACTAAACGGATTGGCACATCCGTTCAAGAGAAAAGGAGGAGGTGTAGGATATTTTAAAATATAAAGGATAGTTTTGGAATTTAAAAAAAGTGTGGTGGTACAAGGAGCAATGTGTGGTGGTGTAGGGAGTAACTCTCCACGTCTCACTCTCCCTCCATTATGTTTTCTTTTACATTTTGAACAACTCTCAAGGGGTTTTCACATTTTTTGCACATTAGAACAACACCTAACATGAGTTTTTCACATTTCTCTGCAATATATCATGTTTCTAGCTTTGGTTCACATTTCTTCGCTCTTCTCTTATGTTTGTTGAAGATTATTTTCGTTTTATTGTGTTGTAACTCTATTTGTATGGAGAGCTAAACTTTGTATTGACTCCCTTAGGAGAATTCATGATGCTTTGAGGTATTTGTTCAATCATTTTATATTATGTTCTATTCTGGTTGACTTTTCATATCTTAATCTCTATGGCTAATGAAGGAATCAATGGATGCATAATATGTAGTGGGTATATTAGTGTTTAATTCACATTTTATTCTCGCTTAATGAATGTAGGTTATGTTATTGGCATAGTCACAAAAGCTTATTTTTTTGCGTGAGATTAATTTATGTGTGCATTACTTAAATGTATAATGAAATTGTTGTTAATCTTCGCTTAATTGATTGAAAATGAGTGGATTAAGAGTTAACATAACAGAGCACTAATTTTGTAACCTCGGATGAGTTGCATTCTAATAAGGGAGTCAATTTGCGATCTACTATTTTATTCAATTATTATGTTGAGTATGCCAAAAAAACTCCTCCATTATATTGTGTTTGGAACCTTTGATAGAAAATAATGGTCATTGGGAGATGACCTTGGAAGAACTCAAAGTATTTAAATTATTTATTTGATTGGATACGACATCGATAAAAGAGTCTATGTAGTTTGGAAGAGGCTCCAAGACACTGGTACAAGAAGTTTGAGTTATTTATGTGTGATAAAGATTACAAAAGGACTATTTCTGATCATTGTGTCTTTGTTAAAAAGTTATTTAATGATGACTTTGTTATCCTGTTGTTGTATGTTGATGACATACTTCTTGTTGGAAAAATATTTTTAGAATTAACAAGTTAAAAAGACACTTGGTGAGTCTTTTGCCATGAAAGACTTAGGAGTTAATAAAAAGATTCTTGACATAAGTATTTCACGTGATAGAAGAGAAAAAAGATTTGGTTGTCACAAGAACACTACATCAAGAAGTTGTTCTAGAGATCCTAGATGAAAAATACTAAAGCTATGAACATTCCTCTTACTCATTTTAAATTGAATGTACAACATAGTCCTTTAAATAAGTGTTAAAAAAAGTTCCTTATGCATTTGCAATGAACAATTAGATGTATGCAATGGTATGTAAAAGACTAAATATTTCACATGTTGTTGGTACAATAAGTTGATTTCTATCAAATTCAAGTAAAGAGCATTAAAATGCTATGAAATTGATTTTTAGGTATCTTCGTGGTACTAGTATTTTGAGACTTTGTTTATGAGGTGATAAACCTACTTTGATGCGTTACTCAAGCTCAAATATGACGAGAGACATTTATTCCAAAAAGTCCACTTTATTATTTGATTAAGTTTACAATGGGAATTGTGGCTTGACAATCAAGACTATATAAGTGTGTAACATTGTTTACTACAGGGGCAAAGATCATTGCCATTATAGGAGTTTACTATGGTTGAAAAATTTCTTACAGGAGCTTGGTTTTGTGAAAAATAACTATCCATATTGTCAGAGCGGCTGCAGCGGAATTATTAGCATGGAATAACAAACCAAGAGGGTTTTTAATACGAACGTGTGCCTTTTAATTTCTACTCAATTAAACTTACCAAGCAAATAATAATAACAAATAAAGAGAGTAAGGTTGAGAGAAATTTGCACAGATAATTTTATCCTGGTTCGAATTTTACCAATTCTACGTCCAGTCGCTTATCTCAAAATAAGATAAACAGTTTACTACTCACAAAACAATTACAAATTACAATCACAACGAAACAATTTGTAAAAGTTTAGAAACCACCTCTCTTGATACCACAAGAGATGAACCTGCACCTCCTTTGAGTCTTCACAAAGGATGAACACCTCCTCCGAATATTTCACGAAGGATGAACTTTCTCTTCCGAACACCTCCTTAGACACACCAAGGATGAACCGGCTATTTCCTCTATCACTGTAGCATCACTTCACCAGCTCCACAGACACGAGTTTCACAAGCTGAACAAGAACACACAAGTCTCAATGATTTCTGAGTACTAGAGCACAAGGGAAGAGTTGTTGTTGATGGAAAATGAGAGCCTATTTATAGACTCACGCAAATACTCTTTCGTTCTTCGTTTCCATCCATTTAACGCTTTTAATCGATTAATACAAGTGTTAATCGATTAAAATGAGTACAACGGCTAGTTTTCAAAAGTCAAAAAACTCCAACGGTTAACTTTAATTGATTATTTTAAGGATTAATTGATTAACTAATCGATTAAAATAGGTATTAATTGATTATTTTCGTGCCAGTTGAGTTTTCAGTACCTGCAACATTTTAATCGATTAATACTTGATTTAATCAATTAAAACCGTGTGTTTTTGATTCTTAACCGCAAATACAAAGTATGAAAGTACAAGAATCAAAACCTACTACAAATCTAAGTCCTAAACATTAAACTACAATTATTACAAAAGCTTTTAATAGCAAAACAAGTCTTCAAAGGATCTTCTTGAATCTCGATATATCTTGAATTGATTTGGACATCATCAAAACTTCATTTTCATCATTTTGCTAACAGTGGATAGTCAAAGTGTTATCCAACTTGGTAAAAATTCAATTTTTCATTATGAAGTTGTTGAAGTTGGATAAAGTTCATGTAGATGACAATGGTGCTAGTATGATGATTAAGGCACTGTCAAGAAAGAAGTTTGAAGGTTGTTTTGAGATCATGAAATTGGTGGTCACCTCCACATAGTTGTGAGATGGGAAACATGTTAGGTTGGGCTTTCAACTATTTATGTACAAAGCTCGACCTAGCTAATCCCATTTTGTCGTACTATTTAACCTAAGTGGATAAGGTATTTTAGGTCAAGAGAGTGCATTTGTAAGTCATCTTCTTTGGAAGAGAGAAAATAAAGAGAAAATTTGTTGACATATTTACTGAATCACCTCAATAAAATTGCGATTCTTGCTTCGTTCATTATTGGATCAGGCTGAAATTTTGACAACAAATTTACGACATAGGGTTCTTCATTTTGACCGTTGTAATAATCAATTGAAAGTTTGATGTTAGAGAAATGAGTCTCACAATATTACTCTATTTTAGATTTCTCTTTATTTGTTCTTCGTATATGAGAGTATTATTACTTTGATGTATTGGTTGGTTATTTACACTTGTTTGTACTTTTGATTTAATTCTCTTCTACCAGTATTTGAATTTAGTAGAAATTGATTTAAGAACTTGCGCTAGTTAGTTTTTACTTTTCATATTGAGAGAGTTTTTACTTATCATAATTATCTTTTTCTATTTGTTGCTCGTGATAAATTTCGGCAAATTTAAGAGAATTATTTCAGTTACATATTTTAATATTTTTTTTGTTGCTATTGTTTTTTATCATTGTACCAACCCTTTCTGCATTACTAAATATATTAATAATAAGTTTTTCCTTTCTTGATTTTTTTCCTCTGATTTTTCTTTTCTCTTGTTTACGTGTGATATTAACCTTGTAGAACTTTTCTACAAAAAGATGAAATAATATAATTTTAGGGTTTTAGAGTTTAAGAGAAGAAAAAAAAGTTTTATAGAAGAAAGATTGAACGAACCAAGTTCTGATTTAGTTATTATTTTGATAAGGATAATATGAACATTTTTTTGTTTTTATTTTAAAATCTTATAAAATTTTGATAACAGGATTCTATTTTAATTTAGATCTTATAGAATCTAGCATTTTATTTTCAGTTAAGATTAATAAGATTAATTATTCTTTTATCCATCTCCCATATCTACTTATACTTTGTTTATTTGCATGTACTCGGTCTATATGAATCCCTATAATTTCTTTAATGAATAAAATAACATATTCATTTGTTTCGGGGGATTTGTTCGGAAGGAGTTGGAATCATCGAAAAATTTGTATATTTCTATAATATTCATATGTAAACCATTCAAACCATCTAAGAGAACGTCATTAAAATAATTTAAAAGACTATATTATTTTCAACTGAAATACAAGAAAATTAAATTTCTTATATTACCTCTAAAAGGAGGAAAATAGTTTTGGATGATTTTACCATTAATAAATTGAGCAAGAGGAAAGAAATGCGGAGTTTAAATATGGCAGTGTCGGAAAGAGAGATAAAAGGTTCTTGGAGTTGACGAAATAGGACTGCAAAATAGGGAGGGTTTTAGGTTTGGACAACGCAGATGGGAACCACCACGAGTGCCGCCAATAGTTAAGAACTCACCGTCACCACCACCATACAAAACAACCACATATACCATTCTATTATTTTCCCACTAAAATATGAAAACAGAATATCTTCTACTTCTTTCTTCAACGGAAAAAAAAACCAATTATCTTTTCATCTTATTTTAAATAAAATAAAAGGCCTCTTTTTAATAGAAAATGCCAAAAGACATTAATATATTATGAAAATCAAATTGGCACCATATTTCTGATTACCAATTTTACCAAAAAAATAAAAAGAGAAGAAAGAAAGTGGAAAGTCGGAACACGCGCTCTCTCACCGTATATATTTATTTTTGTATTGTCAATTGTGCGTCTTCTCTCTCACTCTCCTAAACCCCTCTTGGTGTCTCTCTCTATTCTTCTCTTTCTCACTCTAAAACCTTCAATTCCAAAGCAATCTTGGTACGCCATACGCTTTCTACTTCGACGGGACCGAATGATTCATTGCTTGGAGTTCCAGGTCTCGTAGAATTTCTTGCAAATTCTACCACATTGGTAAGCTTCCAAACCTTTGCAAGCGTTTCATGTTGTTCTGTTTTTTCTATTCGATTTCTCTTTAACGCTCTTCTTTTTGTGGCCGATTTCAGAGGCTGATTGGGAAACATACCTCACATGCGTTTTGCTTCATCTGCACAACTGTACCTGTAGTTTTTCTGGTCAGAATGGAATCGGTATTTTTTGCGGTTGGGTTTTGTTTTGGTTTACCCTAATAACTATACTGTACGGTGTTTCTGGAATTAGGGTTCCGTGAAAAATGAGAGAGGGGCTGAGATCGCGGGCGCGATTGGGGGCGGTTTCTGGAGGCGAAGAAGTTGTTAGCAAGAGAAAAGTTGTTGTGAAGAGCGAGGCTGTTGCTAAGGATGGTGAGGGTTTGGAGGTGCAGAACTCAACTATTGAGAAGAAGGATGAAGTTGCACGTGATGTTAAAGAAGAATGTGGCTTTGATTTGAATGTGAGTGCAAGTGGAGAGGTTGACTTGGAAGAGAATGGGAGTGGTAGGGGTTGTTTTAGTGGTGGGGGTGATACTGTAGTAGCTGAGGTAGATAAGAAGGCAAAGAAGGAGCAAGGTTCAAATAATGAGGGACTGGTTGGGGGTCGAGTGTTGCGCTCAAGGTCTAAGGGGGGGAAGGATAGAAGAGTGTATTATGGAGAGAATGAGGATGTTGTTTCTGAGAGTGATAGAGAATGTAGTGGGGTTGAGAGTGTGAAAGTTAAGACGGAATGTGAAGAAGCTGGTGAGTTTTTGGGCGATAGTTATGAGAATGAAAAAGCTAAGGTGAAGAATGCAGGGAATGGAACGGGGAATTTGAAACGGAAGCGTGGGCGGCCTCCCAAAATAAAGTTGGAAGTGGAAGATCAACCAGTTCATCAGTTGCCACGTAAGCGTGGAAGACCCCCTCTTGCCAACAAACAAAACCATGTGGTGGTGCCTAATAGAAAAGAAAAGGCTGCCCTTCGAAAAGATAAAAAGGGTTTAACTATGAGACATGATGCTAATGTGAATGCAATTGATGATGCTGATTCAAGTAAATCTGCTGGGGATGAGTTAGAAAAGAAGGAAGTCTCTCCTGTCAAGAAGTCTAAATTTACTAAGGCTTTGGAAACTGGCAACAATGTGGTGGCCTCACCAGTAAGATCAAAAACTGAGAATGCACTTGTCACTGAGAAAAGTGGAAGAAATAGAGTTAAGCAGTTAGTGAGGGATCAAATAAAGGAAATTCTCTCAGCTGCCGGCTGGACAGTTGACTATAGACCTAGGAATGGTAGAGAGTACCATGATGCAGTTTATGTTAGTCTGGACGGACACACACACTGGTCAATCACCTTGGCCTACAAAAGGCTTAAAGAGTATTATGAAGCTGGTAATGGTGAAGGTAAGGCATATGGGCCAGGCTTCAAATTTACACCAATAGCAGCAGAGGATTTCCAAATACTCACTAAGGTAATTAAAAAGCAAAGAAATGGGAAAGTTAAATCAGTAAAGAAAGGGGGAAAGGGTGGGAACAAAAACAAAGAAAGGTCAGGTTCTGGTGCAGCCGTGGGTAAGTCAGTGAAGAGGAAAATGAAAAGGAAACGGTCACCTGGAGACATAGATTCTATGTCACCGAACAGGATGCCAGTTCTTGTGAGGGATCATAAGCGACACAAAACACAAAATAAGCTGCGAAGTGGTCCATTGGTTCGTAATGCTAAGGAGATAGATTCAGAAACTGAGGGATATGTACTGTACAGTGGAAAAAGAACTTTGCTTGCCTGGATGATTGATTTGGGCACAGTCCTTCTAAATGGGAAGGTTCATTATAAGGCACCCGAAGATAAAAGTGCTGCACTGGAGGGTAAGATCACAGGAGACGGCATTCATTGTGGCTGCTGTGATAAAATCATTACAATTTCAGAATTTGAAGTTCATGCAGGAAGAAAATTTGCTGATCCCCTTCAAAATATATATGTGGAGGAAGGAAAGTCTCTTTTACAGTGTTTGCTAGATTCGTGGAATAAGCAAGATGAATCTGAACGTCATGGTTTTCATTTTGTTGATGTTGCGGGTGAGGATCCGAATGATGATACTTGTGGGGTCTGTGGAGATGGTGGAGACCTGATATGTTGTGATGGTTGCCCGTCAACATTCCATCAAGACTGCTTGGATATACAAGTATGGCGCTCATTGCCATTTTAAAGTGATCTCTATATAATTGATCTATAAGTAGATCTGTTTCATTTTGAATTTCTTATTAGGATAGATAACTCGGTGTATTATGCATTATCTAGTTGTCACATATCATTTAGTGTCTCATGAGTCATGACAGATAAATGACTTGAATTTATTCTAACTAGGTGTAATTTTTATTGCATTTCTGGAAACTAGTGTGTTTTCTATCTTTTTACTTCTTAATTGTCGTATTGTTTTCTTGAATTCCAAAGCTGATAAGATCTGCATATTTTGACTGATAACACGTGGTTCCCAGTCACTTATATTGGTTGGTTCTGGCTTAGATGAGTGGTTCACTACCTAGAAAACTTAAGTATCGTTTACTGAAGATAAATATTTATTATTAGAAAATTTGAGATGGATATGCATGTAACATTTTGTGAGAAATAATGGGAAATTCTTGTTGTTTCTATATCTTTAGTTTTTCCTTGTCATTTCTGCATATGGAAAATATTGTAGTGGCAAGTAAATGATCTTTTTTTGTTTGCGGCTTGCAGAAGTTTCCATCTGGTGATTGGCACTGCATTTATTGCTGTTGCAAATTTTGTGGGTCAGTTAATGGATGTTCAGACCAAAAGGATAGTGATGATGATATTGCTGTGTCAAAATTACTCACGTGCCGACTATGTGAGAAAAAATGTATGTCCTATACATACATATAAGCTTTTGTTCAGCAGATACTCATTTTTCTCAATTGGAGTACCAGTAGCTTTTCCTTGATTGAAATGAATATATATTTTTTTTTTTACTTTTGTAGATCACAGATCCTGCATTGAGGGAAATGATTGCAATACTACTGATTACAGTGATGTGATCTTTTGTGGAAACAGATGTCAAGAGGTATGAGCTGGTTTCCATGTTCTTTAATCTTGATTGCTTCTTGTAACTAGTTGATGATTGATTATTTGGTGTTGTAAATTGAATTGTATCAAGCTTTCGAGTTGCAATATTTATTAGTAACTGTTACAATGATTTGTTGCTTCCTGGTTCATTGTATTTGTTGCTAAATCTGGAGCATATTTTCTTGTCGTTGTAAACAAACTAATTTTATTTTTTCATTTTGTCCTTTAGTTATCTGAGGGACTTGAAATGCTCCTGGGGGTTAGACATGAAATTGAAGATGGGTATTCCTGGACTTTTATTAGGCGGTCAGAGGCTGGCATTGATGCTTCTCAGATAAAACCTCATATGGTTGAATGTAATTCTAAGCTCGCTGTTGCATTATCAATAATGGATGAGTGCTTCATGCCATATATTGATCATAGAAGTGGGGTCAATCTGATCCACAGTATTCTGTATAACCGTGGGTAAGGTCATCTTGCCTCTTTTATTCACATTCTTGTAACCACTTTTCTTCTTTGTAATGCCTGGTTTGTTATACCGACAACTTTTATGTGCATGNGGAAACATGTTAGGTTGGGCTTTCAACTATTTATGTACAAAGCTCGACCTAGCTAATCCCATTTTGTCGTACTATTTAACCTAAGTGGATAAGGTATTTTAGGTCAAGAGAGTGCATTTGTAAGTCATCTTCTTTGGAAGAGAGAAAATAAAGAGAAAATTTGTTGACATATTTACTGAATCACCTCAATAAAATTGCGATTCTTGCTTCGTTCATTATTGGATCAGGCTGAAATTTTGACAACAAATTTACGACATAGGGTTCTTCATTTTGACCGTTGTAATAATCAATTGAAAGTTTGATGTTAGAGAAATGAGTCTCACAATATTACTCTATTTTAGATTTCTCTTTATTTGTTCTTCGTATATGAGAGTATTATTACTTTGATGTATTGGTTGGTTATTTACACTTATTTGTACTTTTGATTTAATTCTCTTCTACCAGTATTTGAATTTAGTAGAAATTGATTTAAGAACTTGCGCTAGTTAGTTTTTACTTTTCATATTGAGAGAGTTTTTACTTATCATAATTATCTTTTTCTATTTGTTGCTCGTGATAAATTTCGGCAAATTTAAGAGAATTATTTCAGTTACATATTTTAATATTTTTTTTGTTGCTATTGTTTTTTATCATTGTACCAACCCTTTCTGCATTACTAAATATATTAATAATAAGTTTTTCCTTTCTTGATTTTTTTCCTCTGATTTTTCTTTTCTCTTGTTTACGTGTGATATTAACCTTGTAGAACTTTTCTACAAAAAGATGAAATAATATAATTTTAGGGTTTTAGAGTTTAAGAGAAGAAAAAAAAGTTTTATAGAAGAAAGATTGAACGAACCAAGTTCTGATTTAGTTATTATTTTGATAAGGATAATAGGAACATGTTTTTGTTTTTATTTTAAAATCTTATAAAATTTTGATAACAGGATTCTATTTTAATTTAGATCTTATAGAATCTAGCATTTTATTTTCAGTTAAGATTAATAAGATTAATTATTCTTTTATCCATCTCCCATATCTACTTATACTTTGTTTATTTGCATGTACTCGGTCTATATGAATCCCTATAATTTCTTTAATGAATAAAATAACATATTCATTTGTTTCGGGGGATTTGTTCGGAAGGAGTTGGAATCATCGAAAATTTGTATATTTTATAATATTCATATGTAAACCATTCAAACCATCTAAGAGAACGTCATTAAAATAAGTTAAAAGACTATATTATTTTCAACTGAAATACAAGAAAATTAAATTTCTTATATTACCTCTAAAAGGAGGAAAATAGTTTTGGATGATTTTACCATTAATAAATTGAGCAAGAGGAAAGAAATGCGGAGTTTAAATATGGCAGTGTCGGAAAGAGAGATAAAAGGTTCTTGGAGTTGACGAAATAGGACTGCAAAATAGGGAGGGTTTTAGGTTTGGACAACGCAGATGGGAACCACCACGAGTGCCGCCAATAGTTAAGAACTCACCGTCACCACCACCATACAAAACAACCACATATACCATTCTATTATTTTCCCACTAAAATATGAAAACAGAATATCTTCTACTTCTTTCTTCAACGGAAAAAAAAACCAATTATCTTTTCATCTTATTTTAAATAAAATAAAAGGCCTCTTTTTAATAGAAAATGCCAAAAGACATTAATATATTATGAAAATCAAATTGGCACCATATTTCTGATTACCAAGTTTACCAAAAAAATAAAAAGAGAAGAAAGAAAGTGGAAAGTCGGAACACGCGCTCTCTCACCGTATATATTTATTTTTGTATTGTCAATTGTGCGTCTTCTCTCTCACTCTCCTAAACCCCTCTTGGTGTCTCTCTCTATTCTTCTCTTTCTCACTCTAAAACCTTCAATTCCAAAGCAATCTTGGTACGCCATACGCTTTCTACTTCGACGGGACCGAATGATTCATTGCTTGGAGTTCCAGGTCTCGTAGAATTTCTTGCAAATTCTACCACATTGGTAAGCTTCCAAACCTTTGCAAGCGTTTCATGTTGTTCTGTTTTTTCTATTCGATTTCTCTTTAACGCTCTTCTTTTTGTGGCCGATTTCAGAGGCTGATTGGGAAACATACCTCACATGCGTTTTGCTTCATCTGCACAACTGTACCTGTAGTTTTTCTGGTCAGAATGGAATCGGTATTTTTTGCGGTTGGGTTTTGTTTTGGTTTACCCTAATAACTATACTGTACGGTGTTTCTGGAATTAGGGTTCCGTGAAAAATGAGAGAGGGGCTGAGATCGCGGGCGCGATTGGGGGCGGTTTCTGGAGGCGAAGAAGTTGTTAGCAAGAGAAAAGTTGTTGTGAAGAGCGAGGCTGTTGCTAAGGATGGTGAGGGTTTGGAGGTGCAGAACTCAACTATTGAGAAGAAGGATGAAGTTGCACGTGATGTTAAAGAAGAATGTGGCTTTGATTTGAATGTGAGTGCAAGTGGAGAGGTTGACTTGGAAGAGAATGGGAGTGGTAGGGGTTGTTTTAGTGGTGGGGGTGATACTGTAGTAGCTGAGGTAGATAAGAAGGCAAAGAAGGAGCAAGGTTCAAATAATGAGGGACTGGTTGGGGGTCGAGTGTTGCGCTCAAGGTCTAAGGGGGGGAAGGATAGAAGAGTGTATTATGGAGAGAATGAGGATGTTGTTTCTGAGAGTGATAGAGAATGTAGTGGGGTTGAGAGTGTGAAAGTTAAGACGGAATGTGAAGAAGCTGGTGAGTTTTTGGGCGATAGTTATGAGAATGAAAAAGCTAAGGTGAAGAATGCAGGGAATGGAACGGGGAATTTGAAACGGAAGCGTGGGCGGCCTCCCAAAATAAAGTTGGAAGTGGAAGATCAACCAGTTCATCAGTTGCCACGTAAGCGTGGAAGACCCCCTCTTGCCAACAAACAAAACCATGTGGTGGTGCCTAATAGAAAAGAAAAGGCTGCCCTTCGAAAAGATAAAAAGGGTTTAACTATGAGACATGATGCTAATGTGAATGCAATTGATGATGCTGATTCAAGTAAATCTGCTGGGGATGAGTTAGAAAAGAAGGAAGTCTCTCCTGTCAAGAAGTCTAAATTTACTAAGGCTTTGGAAACTGGCAACAATGTGGTGGCCTCACCAGTAAGATCAAAAACTGAGAATGCACTTGTCACTGAGAAAAGTGGAAGAAATAGAGTTAAGCAGTTAGTGAGGGATCAAATAAAGGAAATTCTCTCAGCTGCCGGCTGGACAGTTGACTATAGACCTAGGAATGGTAGAGAGTACCATGATGCAGTTTATGTTAGTCTGGACGGACACACACACTGGTCAATCACCTTGGCCTACAAAAGGCTTAAAGAGTATTATGAAGCTGGTAATGGTGAAGGTAAGGCATATGGGCCAGGCTTCAAATTTACACCAATAGCAGCAGAGGATTTCCAAATACTCACTAAGGTAATTAAAAAGCAAAGAAATGGGAAAGTTAAATCAGTAAAGAAAGGGGGAAAGGGTGGGAACAAAAACAAAGAAAGGTCAGGTTCTGGTGCAGCCGTGGGTAAGTCAGTGAAGAGGAAAATGAAAAGGAAACGGTCACCTGGAGACATAGATTCTATGTCACCGAACAGGATGCCAGTTCTTGTGAGGGATCATAAGCGACACAAAACACAAAATAAGCTGCGAAGTGGTCCATTGGTTCGTAATGCTAAGGAGATAGATTCAGAAACTGAGGGATATGTACTGTACAGTGGAAAAAGAACTTTGCTTGCCTGGATGATTGATTTGGGCACAGTCCTTCTAAATGGGAAGGTTCATTATAAGGCACCCGAAGATAAAAGTGCTGCACTGGAGGGTAAGATCACAGGAGACGGCATTCATTGTGGCTGCTGTGATAAAATCATTACAATTTCAGAATTTGAAGTTCATGCAGGAAGAAAATTTGCTGATCCCCTTCAAAATATATATGTGGAGGAAGGAAAGTCTCTTTTACAGTGTTTGCTAGATTCGTGGAATAAGCAAGATGAATCTGAACGTCATGGTTTTCATTTTGTTGATGTTGCGGGTGAGGATCCGAATGATGATACTTGTGGGGTCTGTGGAGATGGTGGAGACCTGATATGTTGTGATGGTTGCCCGTCAACATTCCATCAAGACTGCTTGGATATACAAGTATGGCGCTCATTGCCATTTTAAAGTGATCTCTATATAATTGATCTATAAGTAGATCTGTTTCATTTTGAATTTCTTATTAGGATAGATAACTCGGTGTATTATGCATTATCTAGTTGTCACATATCATTTAGTGTCTCATGAGTCATGACAGATAAATGACTTGAATTTATTCTAACTAGGTGTAATTTTTATTGCATTTCTGGAAACTAGTGTGTTTTCTATCTTTTTACTTCTTAATTGTCGTATTGTTTTCTTGAATTCCAAAGCTGATAAGATCTGCATATTTTGACTGATAACACGTGGTTCCCAGTCACTTATATTGGTTGGTTCTGGCTTAGATGAGTGGTTCACTACCTAGAAAACTTAAGTATCGTTTACTGAAGATAAATATTTATTATTAGAAAATTTGAGATGGATATGCATGTAACATTTTGTGAGAAATAATGGGAAATTCTTGTTGTTTCTATATCTTTAGTTTTTCCTTGTCATTTCTGCATATGGAAAATATTGTAGTGGCAAGTAAATGATCTTTTTTTGTTTGCGGCTTGCAGAAGTTTCCATCTGGTGATTGGCACTGCATTTATTGCTGTTGCAAATTTTGTGGGTCAGTTAATGGATGTTCAGACCAAAAGGATAGTGATGATGATATTGCTGTGTCAAAATTACTCACGTGCCGACTATGTGAGAAAAAATGTATGTCCTATACATACATATAAGCTTTTGTTCAGCAGATACTCATTTTTCTCAATTGGAGTACCAGTAGCTTTTCCTTGATTGAAATGAATATATATTTTTTTTTTTACTTTTGTAGATCACAGATCCTGCATTGAGGGAAATGATTGCAATACTACTGA